AGCAAATAGTTTTTCTAGAGCCTTATGCTAAGCATTAACAGCTTGATGTATAAAGCCTGGATTTAACATCTTTAGGTAGTGTTGTAGCTGCCAGTAACCTCATTTTATAGGTGCATAAAGATGCTTCAAGCTTCTCAAGTGGGAATGATGCTTTTACTTAGGTGACAAGCTCACCACAAATCTTTAGAGATAAAAGGTAGTTACATGGAAGTATGTTTAGGACTTTTGTACTGAATCAAGGAGATTCTAGAAATGCCTATTAACTTAATAAATCTAGATTATGTGGGACACAGAAAGATCTATATATACACAGTTGGTCAGACATTCCCAAAGGGAGGAGCCGCTTGTGCCAAACCTGATTGGATCTGCAGGATGAACAGCGAGGGCTGTAGCACAGAGCCTGGTCTGACAGCGAAAGAATTGCTAAAACCTATCCTGGGGGAGTTAAAGCATTGACACAAAAAGGAAGGAGGAGTGAAAGAGAAAGGAAGGTGTAAAGGAGATGCTCTCAACCTGGTTAAGGAAAAGGTGCAGGTAACAATAACCACAACATGGTGTATAGACACTTTTGTTTGTAACAAGAAGTATCAGGCTCGTGTACACTGGGAGCGGTTGTATTTGTACGAGTAGCAACAGGCACTAGAGACAGGATGTTCATTGTCTTGCACTGAATGCTGAAGCTTAACATGTAGAAAAACCTGTAACACTTTCTACAGTTGCAGAACACGTGCTGTATGAGGAAATGAATCTGAGTATTTTTTGAGGTGGAAAGACACTGTGTTGCTGTCACCTGCATTCGAAGGGAATGACTTTCATATTCATGCTGTAATGTCTTCAGAAGCTCATTATGGTCAGTTTTTACATGTTGTGCCTTAAAGTGAGCTAACACTTAAATTGTGAAATGCTGTTAACTACATAAGGTAATTCTTCTAAGTTCCAAGTTTATTTTTAATCCCCTCAGCTAATGGTAATTGAGCAATATATTTAATTACAACAATGCTGAAGTGATAAGTATTTATGATGTCTTCCTTGAAACAACTGGTCATATTCAGAATACTTGTGGACTTTAGGGGCAGCAAGGTGAACTGTCAGTAGTAAAAAGGTTATGGATGATTAAATATTCACTGCAACTTTTATTGAAGAGAAGGGTAGTAGATGTAGTCCTTTATTTATCATCCATCCTTTAGTGTAACTTTGGTAAGAGTTGTGCTGAGTAGAGAGCAATTAAATCAATTTAAGTCTATTTTTAAGTTGTCAGTAATACTAAAACTTTTCTTTGGATAGCTGAGTCATCTCAAAACACAGTAAAACTTTTAATCAGATTTTGAGCACTGAGAATTCTAGTGCATTAATTCATTAGACTTTAGGTTTGGATCAGAATGGCACTTCAAGGATATGCTGAGACTTGGAGTAATTTAAATTGAAAAGATCTCCAGAGGTCATCTGGTTCAAATATCAATGGTTTTGGAGGGAGTCTTCAAAATTTTATTGTAGGTGAGCAGTTACAGTGAGCTAACTTCCCAATAAGCTACAGTATTTAATTTATTACTTCAACCTTTTGATAAACTGATTTCTAGAAGGTGAGAATCCATGCACTATGTCTCGTGGCTTACAGCACCAGCTGTGTAGTTCCTCTGTCCCATGGGTGGGTAGGGAGGGAGGGTGAGAAACTTTGCTCCTTGTGGACAATATTCCAATATTGTCAGCTTTTATCCTTGGAACCCTGGATCCAGGCAGCGTATGGGCTTTACATAGTGGTACCACTGTTTTACTGGTATTTGGGACGCCACAGGCATTTATAACCTGGAGAAACTGTTGATCTGTGGAGAAATTGCCATGCTATATTACACATGCACATAGAATCATGTGATTCTGTGATTCTGAATTGCCATGCTGCACATGCACATGATGCACACTTGGTTTTTCATCTTATTTTTGTGTTTCCTATAGCTCATGCACTTTATGCTGTAGTATGTGACCCAAAGATTTGCTTATCTTACTATCAGCATCATTTTCATTCGCAGAACAATTCTGAACTTATATAATCCTTTAAATTGACCTGCCCTCTAGTCTCTGTATGTGGGTAATAAATATGATGAGACATTTCAGTAAACAAAAGAATAGACTGAGGGGAGGGAAGAAAGTAGGTTAAACCATGTACTTTGCAAAACATGAAAGCTGTGTGGGTTTTACTGACCCTACTCTTTTTTTCCCCCATGTGTTCGTTGTTCCCTGGAAAGGTACTGGTTACACAGCTTCTGTTCACTAGCTAAAAACTGCACAGATGTTCTCTTTAAAATTTTTCTTTGAGAAACCAATTGATGTGCTACAATTGGAAGTGTTTGCAGGCAGGTCAGCTTCTTTTCAGTAGTATCTCCCTCCCATGAGGGGGATACGTGAACAGGATACAGAATGGTCTAATGTGCATTTCAAAGTTATGCATTGAGGTTTTTTCCCTGGAATTTCTAAATTAATTTGGATTATAATAAACTTATTGTGTAAAATTATGCACAAAATCCATTGGAACACCTAATTTTGATTGCTTGGTGGAAAGAGAAAAACCAAGAAATGTGAATAGTTGAAGGTGGAGCTTTCAACTCTTTTGATTGCTTCTGTGTGTGAGCAAGCATTAAATAAAATTCAGAAAGCAAATCAGGTGGTCCTAAAACACTGCATTTGTATCGTTTTGTTGGAGTATAAATTTTGTAAGCTTTTGACAGCAGTTAAAGTATATTATGTAATGTTTCTCTAAAAATAGCAAGGTTTTTTTTCCCCTGGTCTGAATTATATTAATTAGTTCAGGTGAATGCTGGGAAAACCAGGATCTGTGTGTAACAAGTATTTACCATATAAATTACTGATTTTTAGACCATCCATCAGGATATCTTAAGCCAGTTCGTTCTACCAAAAAATCTCTGACTAAGAGTATATTTATATATAGCTAATGCTGGTGAGCAGTGTTTGTGGAGAAGCTGATGTTAACTGATGTTAGGAGCATCTGAAGTCCCAGCTTACTGGCACTGGACACATCAGCCCTGACTTGAAAGTAACACGTAGGTGTAGATTTCCAGGTCCTGCTGAGTTCAGTCCTGATGGATACAACTGTCCTCAAGATAAAAGGTTATGTGATATTGGTTGTACAAACGCCCGTTAATAACACTGTATTAAAAGTGTGTGTATACCCTTTCTAGAACAGCAGAAGAAATTACAATTTTACAGAAGAAGTTTTTTTTTCCTAGAAGAGGCCTTTGAGATGTGGCCTGAATATGCCTCAGGACAGTACACTAAATTCTTCTGCAGTACACCTGATTTCTTTCTTTCTTTTTCTTTTCCCCCTTTTTTTTTTTGTTTGGGTTTTGGGAGGTTTTTTTGTTTCTTTTTTTTCATTCCAAATGCCCTGTTCATCTTTGAATGTGAGTGCAGGAAAAAAAATGCTAAAAATATCAAATGTCATGTAGGCTTCTCTTCAGGCTTTCCCAGTTTTCATTTGAAAGACTTGTATCCAAATTAACCTTTTGGAGCAATGCAGACATACCTCTCCCTACTTCTCCCTGCACATCCTGGATCAGTTACATCTGAGTAGCATCATCCTTTGGCTGATTGGAATCAGGCTTCATTAAATAAGTCATGACTGCAGGCGTCAGCATGTTGGCCTGTGGCTGTCTGTCTTCAAAGAAAGTGAGCAAAGAAGCAAAGCTCTTCTCGAGTGCTAAAAATTCGCTGGCACCTGGTCCTTTTATGAGATGTCAGTCTAGATAATTTAAAATCAGAGCTTTCTGTATTCTCTATAAGTGAACTTAAATTTATTTGGACGTTGGGAGAAAAAAGAGGAGAGATGCTGGCTTTGTATTTCTCTCTATAGAAATAATCTGATTCTTCATTTGTAGATTCATTATGTTTAATATTTGAGGTGCATATTGCCTGACCTTTGCAGTTCTTTGCAGTTGGGCTATAGCAAAATGTGTTGTGTGTCATGTCGTAAAGTTTAATATCTGTTGGACATCTGCATATCTGTTAAACAGCCTCTGAAATGGATTTGAACATGGCACTTCTGAACATGAGTTCAAAACTCATTTGTAATATCATATACACTTTGTGTGCCCTTAGGATGTTTCCTGTGCATGAATGCACAAGTAAGCTCTCCAATTTTTTTTTATTTATTGTGGGCTTCTCTCCTGGTTTGTGGTTTTACACACTGTATAATTTTGTTTCTTTCTTTATTTCTTTAATGTTTCTGAGTGCTTTTACTATTTTTAGCATTACAGGGGAAGGTTATATTGTGTTGGCCAAGAATTACACAGTTGTAGTAAAAATAAAAGATATTAAATATTTCTTGCTGTTTCTCTTGTCATTTTAAACAGATGATTCACAATTATATGGAGCACTTGGAAAGAACCAAACTTCATCAGCTAACAGGGGGTGATCAGCTAGAATCCACAACACACAGTAGAATTAGGTAAGCTATTTATTATGCTCTCACTCTGAAATGAAAGAAAAAAATCCATTCATTTGTCTTTGCAAGACTTTGTTCTTTAATCCTACAACAACGGTTCGGCTGAATCAGAAAGATTTGTTGTATGATTGGAATGCAGTAAGAGAATAGGGTAGAAATCAGTAGAAAGAGGTTTTTGCTGTTGTACTGCTAAACATTGAGATATACTTTGTGCATTAGTCTTGACCAATTTCACCTTTTTTGAGTGTTTGCATCCAGGTAGGCAGGGAAAATGTCAGCAGCTGTCCCAAAATAATTGATATCTGCCATTGCTTTGTGCACAGGTCGATGAAGGTGCGTATCGTGGTACCCATTTGTTCTAAGGGCTTGGTGTGAATGTATTATGCAGATTTTGAAGCTTTCTAGCCTATGAACTCTGCGTGGAAGGAGGGGAGAATAACTCCAGGGCTGGCTGTGTCTCTGCGTCGCTGCATAGATGCTGCGAGGAGCCCGGCAGTTCCCGGCGCGAGGGGGAGGAGAGCGGTGATGTCATTGCTCTGGAGCTGCTGCAGAAGAGTGGAAAGCTGCTGCTGATGGCATTGTTTTTGTGGCAGCGGCTGAATGACAGACTTTGCCTACAAAGATACACCCTCGGCCCCTCTGTAGCCTTCTTGGTTCCGGCGTTTCACCATGCCAGCGCAGCGCCATGAATCCTGGATGCATGCTGCTATTTGTGTTTGGCTTCGTTGGCGGGGCGGTGGTCATTAATTCTGCTATCTTGGTGTCTCTCTCGGTTTTGCTGCTTGTGCACTTTTCTATTTCTACTGGTGTGCCAGCTCTGACGCAGAACCTACCAAGGATACTCAGGTACTCTGACCTACTGAACCTTGGCTTCATGTACTCTTGCTTTTTCTCTGCTTTCTGCTTTCTTTACAAAGAGAAAGAGCAAGGATCAATTAGAAATGTAAATTGTACCTGAATTTCAAATTATTTTGCAAACATAATATTGGAATGGAATATGGCAATGTAATTTTTTATTATACACTCAAATTCCATTACCTTTTATTTAAGCAAGTACAAGGTCAGTTTATGTTTTTTGTTTGGTTTTTTTTTTTTTGAAAGCTATTACATTGGATTACTATAACCTGCAAAAAAACCTGTGATGTTAATGTGGGTAAAGCTCATGTTCAGTGTATTGTCAGGTACTTGGCTGATCTTGTATAGCCATAAATGTATGCCATCTGAGGCCTTGTACTGTTAAATTTCACTCCTTTTTTTTAATCAGTTACGTAGGATCAGTTAATAAATGGTCTGCTGAAAAAAAAAACAAACCAGTAATTACTTGATCGCATTATTTTTTAAAAAAATCTGATTATTGGTTGGTGGGAAAAAAAAATCTTTCATTATTTAAGCATTAGAGTTCTTAATGCCTATTCACTATTGTTCAGCCAAATGTTATCCTCTCCTCTTTTTCTATAGTTGTATGGCAAGCTGCCAACTCTGTCTGTCCCCCCCTCAAGTTATGTTCTGTGTGTCCTAGTTGCCTGGAGCAGTAACAGAGATGTATTAGAATATTGTGACCAAAAGTAATCTTGACATGTTTTAGTACTGTAATTACAAATGTAAAACAGCTGGAAAAGTTTTAAAATGTAGCTTTCTAATCTGAAAGCTTGACATACTTTAATTGTGGTTATAAATTTCATAGTAAACTTTATTTTAAAAGGGAAAAATGCTGGAAAATAGTGTTCTCTAAGAGCTATGTGACTTTTTCTCCTTAATACATGGTGCATGTAGGCTTTCTGTGGTAGTTTGCTTTTAACTTGGGTCTCTGAGCACAGAAGGGTTATTCTGGAGGTTTGAAGCCAATCAATAGATAAAAGAAATACCAATTATTAATAACTGATAATAAATGTGTATGAATATTTAAATATAAAGAAATAAAATAAATTTAAAGTGTAACTCTGTAGACTGATCTACTTAATAAGGCTGTGTTTCTTTAAAAGCAGGGAAAAAACAGACTCAAAATAAATAACCCCCAACTTTAAAAAAGGCAAAGCAAAATATTATACTGCGTATTCAATAACTTCTATTAGATTTTTTTTTTTTTAAATATATTTAAATAGTCAGATGGTTTAAGTAATAGTTTTTTTTGTAATGTGCTTTTGCTCCCCTGGAGAATATTTAATGGTTTTGAGGGGTTTTGGGAAGCAATGCTTTTTCTCTTACATAGTAATTTGTTTTAGGAATTACAGGATTTGGAATTCAGTTCCTTAGTCTCTTACTCATTTAAAAATATAAAAATAAAGGGTGAAGGAATCTAATCGTAGAAGAATTTTTTCAATTTTTTTAATACTAGTTGGATTTTAGAACAGAGCATCTGGTTGCTTATCCTAAAGGTTCCTGTAAATGCTTCAATACATCATTTCAGAATATTAGTTTAGGCTTTTAAAACATGTGCCTGCATTCTTACTGTAGTATTTTCACATATTTGTTGGGGGAGTAGAAAGGGTTCTTTGCTTTCTGGTCAACAGCTAGTGAAGTGAGTTGAAATTCCTTCAGCCTATTCAAATACCTTCTTTTAATGCAGATGTTCATCTAATAGCCTTCATCCTCAAAACAAGTGCCCTTTTCAACCTTCAGTGGCTGTGTAGTCCTGCAGGGCACCTGAGCTGTGTGTTAGCACATCAAAATGGGTTCACTAGAAAATTTATTTAAAACTATTCTGCAAAAAAGCAAATGTCAGTTGAGAACTTTTTTTTTGGGGGGGGGGGGGGGGGGGGCGGCTGCTCATTTTGTTTAAATTCTTTCTTCTGAAGACTGCAAAGAAGATCAGCTTTGTGGCATATCCTGCGAGTAAGCAAATCTGCTCTGGAGCACTGCTCGGGAGGCGTGTTCCGCAGGGAAGGGCCCCTCACAAAGCCCGCTTTATCGCTGCCTTGCTTTGCCACTGAACGGCAGCTTTTCTTTCCTTTTTGTTGCTGGACTTCTTAACCAATGAAATGGTTTCAGTCTGTCTTTTAACATAATCAAAGCTTATGTGGTATGTCTTTTGTTCCCCGCACACATTAGAGTTGTGGGAAATCTAAAGAAAAGCAGAACCTGTTACAATAGAGGGAATGGTCAGAATCAAGTTCTGTTCAGTTCTGTGGCTATTTTTCATGAAGATTTTTCAGCACAGTTAGTTTACAGATGCTGGGACAGTATCTGATGCTTTTTATGTTGTAACCCTGACTGATTTTGCTTTCCTTTCTTTGTTGCCTACTTTACTCTGCTAAACTGCTTCTAAATTAACAATATAACTTGGAATAATATTTATGAAAGGCCAAGGTATGAGCAATGCGAGAATTAGTTGCAAAGATTTTTGTGAGGGGTAACATCTTTGTACACCTGTACTGGAAGGGTTCATGACAATTAAAATTGTTTACTCTTCAAACATCGTTTTTCTTTAGCAATGTAAAACTTACCAAAAGGAGTTTACTGCTTAATTGCTAAATACAATCCCTTCTTGACTACCTTTTTTTCCTAAGTAAATAAAACAAAAAAACCCGACAAAAACCCCACAGAAATACTTAGCTTTTCCTTTTGTTTTTCAACATTCCCTTTCATATTTTCGCATATTAACTTCTATACAGCTACTAATTCTGCACAGAATTCCACCTAGGTTATGTTTAATTTGTGAAAAGCTATGCAAAAGAAATTCTATGTGGTTGTGATTTGATTTCTATAATGCTAGAATGTGAGATCCCTTCTAACTCACAACATTCTGTGATTCTATGAAATCTTAATATTTTGTCTGGATTGTCTCTGCAGGGGTACTTACAGGTGATACTTTCATAAGAAGCATAATTTTCTGCCTTCACATGTGCACACTTTCATGTTCTGTCTTTATTATACTTAAAGTTGTGCTAGTTGATTACAGGCCTTTTTTTCTGTATGTCATTGTTCTGACTGAACAAATACTTTGCTTTATCTCAATTCTATGCCCGGCTGATACTTTTCCTTTTCAGGGCTGGCTGTAGCATCCTGTGAGTTGTGTTCTGCCCAATGTTTTTTGTCTCTTGCTAGCAGGAAGAATTAATCTTTTTGTTCACTGATCACACTACTGACAGCAAGATTGACTCGGGGATTTTTTTTTTTTTTTTTTTTTTATGTGAAGCTTTGGAATTTCCAAATGTTGTTTGCAGTAGAGAAGTGATCAAGACAGCAGAGATGGGAGAGCAGCTTTAGGGTGAAGTGGAGTGCTAAACTGGTTTTTTTTGGTTGAAACTACACAGTTTTTGGCTGGGCTAGTTTTAACATCAGTAATTCCTTGACCCAGTTTTTTTAGTTATACAAATCCATGTAATTCATGTCATCTTCAGAAGAAAAATACCATAAATTTTATGGAGTTGGACTTTAAGCTGATTGTTTACAACTTTCATAAGTGCCTCAGTTAATGATTTAGCTGTTGACTGTTGTAGAAGTTATGTGGTAGTGCATCTTGCAAAAAAAAAAGGTACAAAATTATATTTTTAAGAGTAGTTACTGAAAACTGTAATTTAGTCTGAAATAAGGAAACATTTTCATCTTACACTACTATTGGTGTTCCACTTATGTAAAACTTGTTTACTATAGACTAGCTTTAGTGCAATCAATAACTGCTGCCTAAAGGCATGGAATAGACTATTTGTAATTAAATAATGTGAAAAGAGGAATTATGTGCTGTAATACAAAATATGTACAGCGCGTTGTATATTTAATAGAGAGTAGTGTATAAATGTTTGAACCTATTATTTTACCACTTCCCTGCTGATTTCAAAGACCTACATGAAAATAAACTGTGTGACATCTGAAATGGCTGATGAAACTTGTCTCTCTTTCAAACAGAAAGGAGCGTCCGATATCACTGGGCATATTCCCGTTACCTCCAGGAGATGCACTACTTACACCTGAAACTCAGAGAGAAGCTGGAGAAACGCCTGGGTCAGAGCACTGGAAATTCCATGAGCTAAGCCAGCCACGGTCCCACACAAGCCTAAAGGTGAGCACTCAGCTCGGCTCCCTTGTGTGTTAGGACAAACTCCCATAAACAGGTTACAGATCCTTGGTGGGAGAAAAAGCAAGTTGAAGGGGAGGAGGGAAAACCCTAAATCATCCTCATATGAGCCAAGTGTGTTACTTGCTCATTAGCTTTGAGGGAACTTATTTACTGGAAGAAATGGAGTTTGAGTTGCATATTCCAAATGAATAGTAATAGAGGCTAGTTCTCCTCATACTCACAGGAGTGGGTTTTTTCTTTCTGATTAAAGACTCTTTCCAAAGGTCAGTCACTTGTTCTTTACACGCTAGATATGTAACTAGATGGTGCAAATAGGTCTGCTGATTTAATATCCTTTTGGAAGGAAAGCTTTGATTGCTACACAGGCAGTACTCTTAACATAGTCTCTGCCTACTATCAGGCGTGTAGCGTAGGTATACCACAGAGTTGAGAATGACCTAAGAGTCCTAAATTAGCCTGTGATTATGATTTCCCTTGCATGTAGCTTGGCTATAATTCTTGCAATTGTTCTGTGTTCCAACAGTGAGAGGGTGGCATAGAACAAGCTGCAGAAATGGAAAAACGGGGGAGTGGTGTTGGAGTGTGATGGATCTGGCAGTCGGGACGAGGGTGCACGAACAGTGCAGTGGGAGGAGGGATCTGCAGGGGGAAGAACTCCAGAATGTGTAAAGCCTCCCTCGATCTTTATGTTGATGAGGTTTTTTAGAAGACTGTGGATGTACAGTTATTTTGGTAAAGCCATACAGCTGAGGGGAATTTCCTCCTAAGTGAACTTAATACCTAGCAGAGGAATATTAAACTGGTAAGAATTAAAAAAAAACCCTATTCAGACATAATAGGAACCCAGACTTTTTTGTTTGCATAGAGGTCATATGGAGATAATGGGAAATGTAAGGAAAGGTTAATTTTAAAAATATCAAAGTTGACAACAGGAGTTTGGATCTAAAAATTTTTCACATAACAAACTCTTGTCTAGGACCATTTTTGGATCTTAAATTTCTTCTATTCCCATTGTCTTGTGTCAGTTAACATTAATAAATTGTCAGACTTTAGGAGACCTGACTGAAATAAACTTAAAAGTTATGACTAAGAGTAAGTGGAGATGAGGTGTAAAGGGAAGGCTCTTGATTCCATTGTATCTTCTCAGAAAATTATATTGATTATTATATATTGTCAAAATAGGCTTCTTGTTATAATTCTTCTAAAAATAATGCACTGCTAAAAGAGAACCTGCAAAACAGCACAGACTGTAATTTTTCAAACCTGGTTAGTCGGAGTAAGTTCCTTAAATCCAAAGCAGCATCTTTGCTTTTTAACTGCAAATGTAAAGTACTTCTGAAGTGAACTTATTGAATAACGTGATACATTGAAGTCATAACCAGAATGTGAAACTTTTTTCCCTAATACTTTTATTTCCTCTAAATACTTTTAACATCAAGTATAAGGCACAAGCAAGATTCTGCTGCTTTCAGGCATCTGTCTTCACATGAGCATTTCATTAATGATCAGTGTTTCCTCTAAAAGTATCACAAAGAGTAGGTGTCAGGGAGAAATCCAGATTAAAAAGACTGGGTATCCTGTAGCTTGTATGGCAGTGACATTGCTGGATATCATTGTAAGACAACATACAATTATGTACCATTCATTCTCTTCTGCTTATTTCTGCAAAGCATTACAGATGAGCTGCTATTTCTTCAGATTTAATTATCTAGTTTTTAAACTAGTTTTTCTTTTTTCAGGAAAAGTTTTTCGGCAACATTGCCAAAAAAGTCAGATTTGCTAAGTCAACACAGCATTAGATATTTTGATTAATTCATTGTCACTTAATGGAATTGTATTTAATTTTCATTAGTTCCAGAACAAACATTCATAATAGTTTAATCAGTATAGTTTCCAAGAGTTAGCTAAAAAAAAAAATTACAGTACATCATGAACTCAGAAATATAAAATAGATGAGATTATTTGAAATTCCTTTAAGGAAAGGACCATTTTCTTCATTGTTTTCTCTTGTGCTGTCAAGCTGTTTTTCTTGAGCTTTGTGTGTGAAAGTCAGTGATCAAACTGTGCTGCATCAGTTAGTGAATGCTTTTGGAATACAAAGATGTAGAAATGTTTGAACAGAGCCAGCAGCTCTGTTGTGGTTTTCTTCCCTGTTTGTGTGAACTCCAGATTCCCTTGGTAAAGGATACCATTTCCTCCCTTCTGTATCTGCTTGCTGAAGTGTAAATCCAGCGGCTGAACTTCACCAATTCAAAAGGCAACTGGCTAAATTGTGTAGCTTTTTTCTTTTATTTTGGACATGACATATCTCTTAAACTCTTTCATATGTTGGTTTTGTTGCCTTGTATAACTATGGGTAAGTGTATATGTTTTATTCTTTTAGAGGTGTCTGTTAGTTGACTATATTTCTGAATAATTTCATCCAAATATATGAATAATTGATTATTTGGGAATTTACTAAAAAAGGATGAAAACTGGAAGTAAATGGTAGGCAGGTCTTGAAAGTGCTGAATTTTGTCTCTAGAACTTGCACATTCCATGTGGGGATGTCACTATAGGATGCAAGATTTGCACTTACGCTGATATACATAAATGTGTTTTCCTCCCTGCCCACAAAAATTAAAATTGTATCTTTCCAGGAAGTTCCAAAAGTAAAAATTTAGAAATTACAATACTTCGCAATCTTAGCTAAGTACAAATGAGAGAATGTGTGTCTATATGCAGAGCTCTCTTGGGTTTTTTTTGATAACTTTAAAATTCAGTTTCACTTCCTTCTCAAAAAGGGTTGTTAGCAGTACGATGAAGCAGTTCATGCTTCACAAAATCTAAACTTAATTCTTGACGAGTTTAGGTTTCCTGAGCTAACAGATATGTTCTCTTTAAATGTCACAGACTAGTCTGGGAGCCTTCTTTCACCTCTGATTCCCAAACAAACCCTAAAAGAACTTTTTATCAAAACTTGCCATCCTGCCTTCCTTTTGCACATACCAGCCTCAGTGTTGGATCTTGGTTTTTCCCAAGGAGACTCCTCTAATGCTATAAGCTAGAAAATATTGACCTAAACAGACCAATTTGTTTCCATATCTGCAGTGAGATCTTGTTTGCTGTTAAGTGCTATTTAAGTCATTGTCAAGATGTCTAGATGCTGGTGCAGCTGTGGTCATGAGTGAGGAGTGAAATGTGAATGAAAGGAGACAAGGGCTCCCAGAAAAGTATTATTAGTATTATCAGGTAGTATCCTGTAGTTATATCAAACACAGTCCAGCCTGCCCTCAAACACAGTGCCTGCTGCAGGCCTGTCCTAGTTCATTGTGGTTCTTCATGCAATATCACTGTAATGTAAACTGTTGCCAGGAACTGGCTTCTAAGAAGGAGCTATTTACTGATGTTCCATAGTTGAGCTGAAATCTAGCTGAACAAGTAGTCACTGCAATTCAGTGTCTTATTCCCAATGTCACCCAGAGCTTCCAGTTCAGACTGGAAAGTGCATAAAACCAGTTTGAGTGAAGTGCTTGCAAATAGTATACTTTTGTATCAGTTAAATACATGTTCTGCATCAGTGTTTCAACGTCTACTTTTTAAGAAGGTATTTTAAGATATCATGCACATTTTGAGCAATTAAAAATTTTATAACAGCTTTGGGAAGATTCAGCTGTTCATTGTGCATCTAGAAGGATTATTAATATGGGAATGCTGCCTGTCGTCTGGAAGACTTAACAGAAAAACACCAAGTTGTGGCTATAATTATCAACTGAAATAAACCATTAGTATTAAAAATAGGAGCGTGTTTATGTAGCTTTTACTGCCTTAAAAGAAGTGAAACCGCTGTAGTCTGAAGATTAATTTGGCAACAGTGGCTTAAGGTATTCTTTCCATTCCATCCAGGTTTCTTTGCATTTGCATATTCTTCAGTAAAATACAGTAATTTTGGTGTTTGTTCTTTAGTTTCTACACTTAACTCTTCCAATAATACTTTATATTCATTTTTTTAAATGGTAATGTTCAATTTTAGGATGAGCTCTCTGATGTTAGCCAAGCAGGCTCAAAATCTACTACTCCAGCGTCTGCAGCTGCTTCAGATGTACCTGTACTGCCTGCTGAAACTCCTCAAAAGGAAGATGTTGAAGGGCTTGCAAAGGACACAGATATGCCGAATGAGAAGCCGGATATAAGCAAGAATATTGAAGTACAGGTAGCTCAAGAGACAAGAAATGTGTCCACTGGTGAGCTGCCTTAACTTTTTAGTATATAGTTACTATAGACCTTATATTTAATCCATTATGAAATATCTTAATTGTTGTGCCACATGAGAAATGGGGTTTTAAATCAATGTTTTTAGGGTACAGAATATTAGTAAGAAATACAAGTCTGTTGTTTATTGGCGGCTTTAGTCCTTATTTTTCTAGAATCAGAATTATTTGTGACATTTCCTTGTAAACAGCAGAAGTGGCACTCATCTAGACACAAAAAGTCATGAGATGGTAGTCATTTGCTTGGTTTCAATTGCAGAAATAGTGAGAAATAACTACCATTGGATGACATAAGCTAAATTCAGGAGAGACTTAGAAATTTCAGTGTCTGCACTGGAGTATGAAAATCCATAGGTCTTCTAATTTAATTACCATAATAAATCTTTGAACGGAAGTCTACTTATTTGGTGATTGCTTAATAACGACCACATGTAGATAAAGTCATACGTCACAGTGATTTTTGTTTTGTGGAGACATACTGCTTGCTTTTGCCTAGGTGGAAATGAAAATGAAGAAAAATCTGAAGTTCAGGCAATCATTGAGTCAACTCCAGAGTTGGATATGGATAAAGATCTCAGTGGATATAAGGGTTCTAGGTAAGTTGTGTGTTGTGATTTGAGTAGGAAGACCATTTTTGGAAGGTACCAGGCTTTGGTTTTGAACTTGTGACTTGTTTATGAATTTTACCAGACTGAGATCATGCATTATGTAATGAATCTCCTACTTCTGTGACCTTACTTTTCCAAATTCCTCAGGAGTTTTTAAGTGCAACAGCAGTTCTTAATTCTGTTGCTACACGTGATGAATGTTCAGGTTACCTCATATTACAGCAGACTTAAGCATTCTGAAATATTCTTTCTGTATTTCAAGCAAAGGCTCAATACCAAGAAGCCTTTTCTCCCTAGCTCAAGGTTTCAAGGTACTAGCAGTTTCCAAGCTGGGCCCTTGTGTTTTCACCCATATCTGTAAAATCTAGATTTATGACTGACTTTGCAAATGTTACAGCATTGATTTATCAGATTCTGATGGTGAAATCCTAGGGTTAGCAGAACGCTTTTGCATGAGTCTGCTTGTTTGCAGTTTTTGCTTGTGAAGGATAACATTTCTTTCTAAAGCTCTAAAGCCCATAAAAAGTAAACAAGTGCTGGTTTAGTAGTGTGGGGAGTGCCTGATCTTCTAGGCAAGCCCTAAAAAATTTAGGGTCTAGCCACAAGTCCTTCAAATATGTTATGTGTCTTTCTGTTTCATTCTTGTGATGAGGTGGAAAAAATGACCTTGTATAGTGAATCTTAATGGTGTTAAGATCTTTGTGTGAAAGAAGCCCCCTTTCTGGCCAGAGGAATATTTTGATATCTGTTTGGTTCTCTAAATGACTTCCAGTTTGGCTGAGCTGTCTGTTCTTTAAGTGTTTGGACTGACTAAGACCTGACGGGGTTGAATTTCTATATGCCAAAATTTGATATGCTTTAATTTATTAAAATCCTGACCAGCTCAATATCAGCAGCCACATCAAGTTTGGGATCTTGATGCCAAAGTAGTATTTAAATAGAAGGGTGGCTTCTAAGCCAACTGAAAGCTGCTGAAAATTTTACTTCTGGGGGGGAGCAGACTTTCTTCAATGTGGGGATGATTTCTTCCTGCTTTTTAATGCTTTGTTTTAATTCTTTGAATAGCACTCCTACCAAAGGCATAGAGAACAAAGCATTTGACCGTAATACAGAGTCACTCTTTGAAGAGCTGTCATCTGCTGGTTCTGGCCTAATTGGAGATGTGGATGAAGGTGCAGATTTACTGGGTAAGAAAGGTTATTTAAAGAGGAATTTTCCTTGTTAGTGGAGTGCTTAATTATCCTTGCTGGATTTACTGTTAGGGTTCATTTGCATTTAAATCTTTTGAGTATCATCCTAAGGTGGTTATTGGAATACAAAAAAACAGGAGAGGGTGTTTGTTCTTTCTTTTTGTGGCAATTTTCACACTATTATCTATTTTGGTTTTCCTTATATGTTCTCTGACACTAGGATTTTTATCTCGAGCAAGGATTTTTATCTTGAACTAGTTTTAGGTAGTTTAATTCAGATTGTGCCCAGTCTGTAATGGCCTGGCTTTATCAGCTCTCTATGGAATTGAACTTGTAAGACAGGATTGCAGGAGAATGATGGCAATTTGAGAATCAAACTATTAATTGAAGGGGGAGGGGGAACCCACATTTCTCTTTCCCCCTAGGCAGCTTGTTCCTGCTTGTGTGCAGATGAAACAAAATGTAAGTTTTGGGAATATGAGTTGATCAGGAGCAAAAAGGTTGTTAAAAGAAGGATCTTTCTATAAACAACATAATGATATTTTTGGCTGTATCAGTGTTCAGGCCTCATTTTGAAATAATGAAAGCTGGTACTATGGAAGGTATAAAATGCAGATGCAACTCCTGTGTGGTTTAGAAATGGGTTGTATACAGAAAATCAGCAGTTTGTTTGCTTTTGTTGTCTGACCTGGCAAAAATACAGATTGTTGATACTATTTAGAACTGTTGTGTGTGCAACCTGGATTTCTCATTGTTCAATGTTCCACCAGAGACTTTCTTTGCATCAAGTAGGTGACATTTTTGCAAAGTATTACTCACTATGAGTAATGGGCCTATCTCCAGTCTGAGATAGTTTTTCTTTGTTGTCACACTCTGCTGCTTTGAATCCTGAGCAGCAAAAACCACCACATCCTTGCTGGAACATACTTCATCCAAAGCTCTTGTGCTCTGTTGTCACAGGGACAACTAATGACACATTCTGCATGCAAAAATATAGATACTGGAGAAGTACTAACATATAGCAACTACCATCCCTTAGCTATGTGATAAATTGTTTAAAGAAATCAAATTACTGTCAGGATTTCTTGATAATAGATGCTTTGTTTTCCATGGGCAAAAGTAATACACTTTTCACTGTTAACATATCAAAAGTTTGTCATGACTTCATTACCAATTTCCATAAAACTACTGCTAGGAACACTGGTGTGTACAAAATGAACACATTGTTATAACTGCATCTGTTATGCAGAATGTGTTGATCTAAAAGTTTTACTATATAATCATGATTTCATGTTGAGCACAACCATTAGTCCAGGTTGCTCTGTGTTACTTAAGTCATCTGCATCAAGGATAGTTGATGTGTTTCAGTTGGAATCTGTTCTAAGTGAGCATTAAATTTTAGTTTGAAGCTCTGTAAAAGCAGTTAATTGGGATTCTCTAATCTGTTTTCTCTTGGGCTGCATACCCAGGGGAATATTCTGGTGTGTATGCTTCTTTTTTAAAAACATTATTTGAAATCTGTTGCTTTTCTAGTCAGGCGTTCTTGGCTGCTGCTTTCATAAAATACATTCTCTGCATTTTTTCCCTGCTTGGTAACTTTTTTTTTTTGCTTTTGCACTCTTGGCTTTCTAGTTTTTGTTCTTGCATTATAAAGGATCCTGAAACCTGTTGGAAGTGATCCTAGGTACTTTTGTACTGAAAACATTTAAAAAACAATAGCAACTTGAAGAAAATCTCTTGATGACTGTAGTGCAGGGGATTTCTCTAGATATTGATAAAGCAACGATAGCTGATCTAAGTTTCTTTACTATTAATGTCATTTACTTTTAATCCAAAAGCCAGAGAGAAATTCCAAAAGCTGAAACTTTGACTTGCATGTCTATTTTTAGATACTTTTTTATTGTTATCCAAATATCTTTTAAGTCTTCTCTTACTGAAGTTTCTTAGAAGATTGTGTTCATAGAGTGTTTTAAAAGGCCTCCACCATTAAGATATCTTTATAATTTGATGTGTTAATCTTGAATTAGCATGCTTTCTGTCTTTATCACTCTGGTAATTATTTTGCTGTGCAAGATGTAAAATAATTATTTTCTGCCTGAAAGTTTATCTTTTAAAAATCCTGCAAATTATATTTTAGGCATGCGAACAATAGGATGAGAAATTATTTTCTAGAAATTTAAATAATATTGAAGTATTTACTTGAAGAGTGAAGTTCACTTTTTTCCATAGTAGCATGTTAATTTGAAACTCTTACTGAATGCCTTAGCATTTCTTCCAAGTACTGTGCTTCTAAATTATTTCACAGAAAATGAGATAGACCTCAGATAAAAATCAGGAACTTAATAAAAGTCTAACCAATAGAAACGGTTAAGACAAACTTAACTTCTTTTAATGTCTGTCTTTCATATAAATCCTGCTTCTAATCACATCACATTCCACTTCAGATTTTTGGTGATGGCTTTGTTCTAATTCACTCTTATTTCATAAGTCTAAATATTTTCTTGCTCTTCACCCATACTACACCTTACATGAAATGTTTCTTGTTCTCGTTTTTGCTCTACATGGAATGCATGGGCTTTAAAGACCATAATTTCTTTGGTAAGGTATCATTTGCTCTGGGGAAATCTGCAGGGCTTTTGCAGTCTGAGCTTTATAATCCAGCATGTCTTGTGTCTATAAGTGATATATTTTGTTTCTAATGTGGTATAAAAGACAGTCAAGCATTTTAAATATAACTTTTTGTGGACTAATACTTCCCCAGTAATTCCATGTTTGGTTTTTGACTTAGTGGTACCGTAACCTCTTCAAAATGTATAGAACAGGTGGAGGTAGCACTAGCCCATGGTGAGCCAGGGTTGCCTTTAGGCTTTAGTCAAGGCAGCTTGGGACAAAGGTGGAGGGTAAAGCTAATTATAGAAGGTAGGTCCTGAAACTTCGGATAGCTCACAGTTTTCCTGACAAGTTTGTCATACGTAAAATTCAGCTGGTTTTAGACAATGGCAAAACATAGGTTTTGTAAAAATATCAATTTTAAATGCTAATTTTGTGTGTTTGTTTCCTTTGTAAAGGAATGGGTCGTGAGGTTGAAAACCTGATTTTGGAAAACACTCAGCTGTTGGAGACAAAGTAAGTGAGAATGCATGTGTAAAAAATACTGACTTTCTCTGTTATTTTGTTATACCTTCAGTATCTCTCTACATAGAAAGTTGAAATTATACAAATGGGCTTTCAGTTCTAAGAGTAGTGGTGGTATAAGTATTTTGAATTTGTAGGTATATTTGGCTAAATATATAGCTTAGTTGGTATTCTTCTAGAAATTAAGGACCTTGGAAGCAAAAGCTGCTTTTATCTTTGGAAGGCTACAAGAAATGCAGTTTTATGTCCTAATGAAATCAACTCCCTGCCTCTTCTGTTAGAAACACATCTGTAACTGCAGATGCTCATCCATTGGTGCACTGATGAGGAATTCACCCTCGAAGCAAACTGTTCTGAGTTATCAGTACTTTTTTCTAATTCAGGAGTTTGAATGTGTTTGAGCATTTGAGTTTTGGGGGAAGAGGGTTTGACCTGTTTTAGAAAGCTGTTATCTTTTTACAGCAGCTCTATGTAAGAAATTTGTAGGTCTTCAAATTCAAGAATAAAATCAGTCTGAAGTTAAACTATGAGACCTGTCATCCTTGTAACTGTGTATTTTAAATATTTGTGTAGAAATGCACTGAATGTAGTGAAGAATGATTTGATAGCAAAGGTGGATGAATTGACCTGTGAGAAGGATGTACTACAAGGTGAATTAGAGGCTGTAAAACAAGCAAAACAAAAGCTGGAAGAGAAGAACAAGGAACTGGAAGAAGAACTGAGAAAGTAAGATTAATTCTATGGTTGTGAAAAAGAAAGGAAAAAAATCCCACCGTGGTATCTAATGCAACTGTTTTTATTTTATATTTAGAGCTCGTGCAGAAGCAGAGGAAGCAAGACAGAAAGCTAAAGAGGATGATGATGTAGGTGTTTGTGTATATGTGTATTTTGTGCATATAATGCACAGTGTGACATTAGAAGCTCACATTTTTAGTGAGTTTTACTAAACTTTATGGCTTACTAAGTAGTAGTAAATTTCCTCCATGTATAAAAAAAATAGGAGATCGAAAGAACACAAGTAAACTGAGCATGTCTGGTTTTCTTTCCTTCCTCTCTGTCCATTATTATGTCTCACTTTCTTTTTGAAGAATTGTTTTTTATTCAGATTATACTATATACAAAGGATGGGAGGAGAGGAAGGTAAAATTGAGTTAGTTTTACAAAGCCCCAAATGATTTGGAATCTGGAATTGTGCCCTAAACTGACTCTTACCAGAAGGCAGAGGCTGACTCTGCAAGGCCCTGCTGTGCTCCTTTGTTTGTCCTATGTTTGCTTTTTTGTGTGTTCAGAGTGATGTCCCCACGGCTCAGCGGAAGCGTTTTACTCGTGTTGAAATGGCCCGTGTTCTGATGGAAAGAAATCAGTATAAAGAGAGGTTGATGGAGCTTCAGGAAGCTGTCCGGTGGACTGAGATGATAAGGTAAAAGGCTCTTTTAAAAATCTTTGATAGAGCACCTTGGATTTTACAGGCTTTCAGTTGTTAGCTGCAGAGTGATCTGGTCAGTAGTTTGAGGCCTTAATTGCCCTTCTGTGTCTTCCCACATGCCCATGAATAAGTTTGTTTTAAAGTTATGTGCATATAACTTATCTCATCAAAATGGGTTCTTGGTGAGACCTCAGTGAAGATGTGTTACGTCACATGATGTGAAATAAGCATCCCTTGAAGAAATGTGTGTATTTTGGAATGGTTACAAAACTTAGTAATTGTAAATAACATAAATTTGGTGGGCAGGAAAAATTATCTGTGTATGTGTGCACATAACTTCAAGCAGTGGGCCCAGTTGTCAGCTGAGATGTCAAAACAGGAATAACATACAGTCTTCACATTGAGTGTAATCTGTTTTTAAAGACTTGGGTTATTCAGGAAAAAACCTTGATTTTAAAATTGTGCAAGGTTTGTTACATATAAACAATAAAGATGGTGATCTGGTCTTATTTGTATCCTCAATATTGAGTTGTATGGAAAGTATGATTTTTTAAAAACAAAAGTCTTCTGCCTCAGACGTCAGGCCCGCTCGTTCTTGTCACATCCCCCCAGCCGTGTCCATATCCAGAGGTCCCAGTGTCACTTGGTGCCGCCTGCCGGTCAGGTGTAACAATGGCATTGCATCGTTTCAATTGTCCTCAATACCTGTGAGCCATTTTGAGTCTGAGAGAGGAAAATACACTTGCTTTTCTGTAGCTGCTTCTTCTGTAGAAATCTATCTCTGTTAATGCATTTATGGCTTCAGGAACCATCACTTTATCATTTATTTACTGATGTTTTGAAATATAAGAGGTTTTAATATAAAAGGCAATGGTTAAAATATTAAAAAACAGGAGGCAGAAGAATTTAAAAACATTTGCTGCTTTCTTCTAGCTGTTTCCATTGCAAAGTATTACACAGATTTCTCTCTTCTGCCTGAAAAGCACTTGCAGTTGTTTGTGATGCAAATAAATGTGGATGATGTTTATTATGTAACTTCAGATAATCTAGTGAGAATTTCAGTATTTTGCTCTGACCAGAAAAGAAGTGGCAATGTGAAGAAACAGGCTTTGATACTTTCCACATGTTATACTGGTTTTTTAAATAAGAGTTACACACTGTTCCGTTCCTTTCCTTTTTTTAATTAATGCTTACTCAGTAAACTTGGAATTCATTTCTTGTAGAGCATCAAGAGAAAATCCAGCCATGCAAGAAAAGAAGAGATCAAGCATTTGGCAGTTGTAAGTATTGAAACACAACTCGCTGGCAAAAATATAAAAGACCCTAACCAATTAGCTGATTCGTTTTTGTATGTTAGCTAACTATCTTTCAGAAGATGAAGATGTCTTAACTGTTCTCCTCTTGTTACCTAGCATGCCAGCTCGGTAAGACTGTTCTTGAGGACAAAATGTATCGTAAGCTGCATCATGTAGTGAATGGCTGTGCACTTTGTAAAGTTAAATGCCAAAGTGCTGTAAATTTTTTTTTCTAGCTGAATATGCACCAAGACTCTTGTTCTGAACATTTTTCTGGATTCTTTTTTATCATGAAAAATAGAAACTTGAATAGCTTGTGTGGGTTGCGTTTGTTTCAGCTTCCTTTTCCTCTATGAAGTACAGCTTACTGATTGTTAACTTTTCCTTTCTAACTTCTATCTCTCTAAATTTAAAACAGTGTTATTCACAACAAGATATTTGTCAAAGAATCCTTTTGGTGTTGTGGTTTGTTGATACCTATTCTATGTTTTAACCTGGAATATAGTGGGGGTTTTAAACTGCTCTGTGCATGAACTAATCTGCTTCATAAAACTGTCCTCCCAGTATGATATTGACATCCTAATTTTGTTGGTTCCCTGTAGATGTTCATTCAAGATGATCTCATTAAATTTGATGAACAAATGAGATAATTATTTAAGAATTTTTCTTACTGACAAGGAGTTTCTGCGCTTTGAGTGTGTTGCTGAGTGTGTGGTGGCTGCTGCTATGTTGAGCTCCAGTTTCTTAGTCTAACTGGCTTGAGCAGGCTAGCGTATGCAAAGTTTTGCCTGCATAGTAAAATTTGGATGTATCCTACAAATCTTAACTCTCATACTTATTTTTTTTTCTTCTTCTAGTTTTAGCAGGCTCTTCAGTTCATCTAGCAATACAGCTAAGAAACCAGAACCTCCTGTCAATGTTAAATATAATGCTCCAACCTCACATATTACTCCATCAGTCAAGAAAAGAAGCAGCACCTTATCTCAATTACCCAGTGACAAATCTAAAGCCTTTGAATTCCTCAGCGAAGAGTAAGGCATTTTGGTTTTATAATACTAGATATGCTCTATCAAGTACTTACTCATGTAATCCTCCACGATAAACAGCATTGCTGAAAAGTGAAGTGCAATGTTCTCCTGAAGTGAATGTTGATACACAGGAAATCCACATAGTGCAGACTGAAACGCACAGCAGTGGATGAGTATTCTGGGTACCTGGCAGTAGTATTCTGTTTGGCAGATGTCCCTAGTTTTCATAAAAGTGCATTTAGGCACAATAGGCAACACTTGGTACACTTTTATATGCAAGTGTTGTAGCTAATCAGTAACTGTAGAGATGCTGTCTCTTTAAGTTCAGTGGAAAAATAGAACAACATGAATCAGGCTAACAAGTATCTGTATTTTTTATTTTTTTTTTATCCTGTGCTTCTTTTTGGCAATATATTCCTTTGGTTTACAATTTTTAAAGCTTCTAGTAGAGGTACATAACCCAAGTTAATTTTCTTTAACAATGCTGACAACAGACTTTCTGTTTTAGCCTGTCTTTCATTGGTCCCTTAGAAATAGCCTACAGGAAACCTGTTGTTCTGTAGGTGATAGGTAGAAAAAGTAGTGATCTCTTTGGTAACCCAGTGTTTCCACAGACATCTTGTCTATTGACTTTAACAGCAACTTCTATTACACAAAGTATCCTAAAGAGCATAAATAACAGGCTCTCTGATAATGATTCTTCCCTAGAACGGAAGCCAGTTTAGCTTCACGCAGAGAGCAGAAGAGAGAGCAGTATCGCCAAGTGAAAGCACACGTTCAGAAAGAGGATGGTAGAGTGCAAGCATTTGGCTGGAGTCTACCTCAGAAGTACAAACAGGTATTATGCTTATGTTTTCAAATGCAGTGGTAACAACTGCATGTTTTGTGAAATTTGAACAGTTTAATTTCACAGATGTGTGTGAGTGATTCCAACAATTTTTTGTTGAAACTTTGTAGTTAAAAGTGTCTTTGTAAGGAAAACCACAATGCAAAACTCTTAATCATGTTTAACAGTCTGATCAACTGATTCCAAAGACCGTAAAGCTCTTTTAAAGGGGAAAGCTTTTCTGGTAGTTTTGTTTGTTTGTTTTTTTGCCTAGGTGGCAAATGGTGGCCAGAGTGACAATAAGATGAAGAACTTGCCTGTACCTGTTTATTTGAGACCTTTAGATGAGAAGGATACCTCTATGAAGGTAGGGTATTTATAGTGATGATATAGAGACTGGGAAAATGTGTAACTTGAATATTTTTATTTTAGACTCAGTTATTTTCTTTAAAAAATAAAGTTCTTTTTAAAGAATAAGTGAATAAGAATTTAAGCTTCAGTAAAGATGTACATGACTTTAATCTTAATGAATTCATTAAAATGGACTGCAGATATGTAATAATTTTTATATTACTTAGCATATTTAACAATGGGTGTGTCTTGTTTTGTTTTGGGTTTTTTTTTAGTTCAGCTTTTAAGTGAAGTATTTATTTTTCTTTCAAGCTGTGGTGTGCTGTAGGGGTAAACCTATCAGGAGGGAAAACACGAGATGGTGGATCTGTGGTTGGTGCTAGTGTGTTCTACAATGATGTGACTGGTACAGATGCCGATGGCAACAAGCAACAAACAGGATCTCAAAGTAGCTTAGATAGGCTAGACCAGGAGCTCAAGGTAAGATCACTGTAAGGCACGTGGAATAGTTTGCATAGTTAAACATCTTTACCATATATCTGTAGATTAATAATACATTTTGGAATCAGGTTTATAGGTAATGAATAGATTTTTCTTCAGTAGTCATCAACCCAAGATATTTGGGTTATTGAATCGAACTACAAAAGTACTGTGATTCTTGCCTGTGTGTCATCTTGTTGGCAAATCTGAGGAGCAAATCAATTTTCCATCAAAGTAAGGCACTGCTTATACCAGTGCAGCCTGCTTTAAAAAACATTTGTGGCAGAATTCTTCATGTTTTGACTGTCATTTAAAAAAATGTGCTTTAGGTGTCTGTGCCATTGCTTAAAATGTTAGTCTTTGTGTTTTCATGAAGAAGCAATGAATGGAATTCATATTAAGGGCATTAAAAACAAAGGCTTAATTTTGAAGTGCTTTGGGACATCACATTAATCTGTGGCAATGCTCAGTATGGTAGCTGGCATGTAAATAGCATTCTTATGTAGCTTTATACTTGACTAACTGGATAACTGCAGTGTAATTATTTTCAATAGCTTTCTACACAGGTATGAAATACGAGGGGAATTTTTATATTCCAAATACAGAGAGAACAAGTAAATACATGCAATTTTACAATGACATTCAAGATATTTAGCTTATCACATTTATGTATATTCCTGTAGTTGATAACGTAAGAATAAACAAGATCAAAGGCAATAGTTCTGTTCTTGCCCCCCTTCCTGTTGTTCACTTCTGTTTTGCCTCTATTTTCCTTCAGGACCAACAGAAGGAGCTGAAGTATCAGGAAGAATTATCCAGTCTAGTCTGGATCTGTACTAGCACACATTCTGCTACAAAAGTTATCATTATTGATGCTAATCAACCTGGAAATATTCTGGACAGTTTCATTGTTTGCAATTCTCACGTACTTTGTATTGCAAGTGTACCAGGTAAAGACTTGTGATGTTTTAGCTCCTGCTTTTTCAACTTTATCTTATTCAGAATTTCTTATGCAATGAAAAACCAAAGATTTGTTAATTAGTGTGATATAATTTTACTGTAACACAGTAATACAAAATGTTTAATTAGAGGGAAAACTATTGGATTTCTACTCTACTGTTCCACTCTTTGGTTGGCTCTTGACCTAAATTAAAGGTAGAGAGACCAGGAACAAGTATTTTGTCTGCTGTATGATAAACTGTGCAATAGTGACAATGTTTTATTTCATCACAAAATAAAAATATGTTGTCTCTTTACATCTCTTCAGCCTCTTGAAAATAAGTAGCAAGTCTTGGAGCTTCCTGTAGAGGGAATCCTTGTTACATTGAGAGTGTATGTGGGTGAGGGAGTGTACTGAGGGAAATTTAATAGGAAGATACTATGATTCTGGAGAAGAATTAATTGTGCTTTTGGATTTCTTGTTTCTTGGTTTACACTTACAGAAGTCTGCAGCACTAGTTCCAGTGAAGTTTTAAGCTTAGAAGCTTAATTTAATTTGTTTAATAAACTCCGAAGAAATCTCCTTCCAGTGAAGTTTAAGGTTTTGCTCCATTGAAACTATGTATAACTTGCAAAATCAAAAGAGCATAAAATGCAGTAAAATATGATAAAAATGTCAATAAGCCAAGAACAATATTGAAGTTTTAAGTGTTTGAAAGAGTTGTACGAGAGAAAAGATCTACTGCAGCTAAATTTTTCATAAGGATGTAGATGGGTATCTTTGCATTTATGTGCTGTTATGAAATTTAATTTTAATGGAAAACTTATTTGAAATAGAAATAAACTAGTTGGAAAACTCTGCGTACTGAAATATGGCATACGACATTCAGATGTGCAGCACGTGTAGATACTGCTTTTGCTTTTTGAGCTTCATGATTGCATCTTTGACGTCTGCTGATGATGTTAAAATAAACTTGCTAGATAGGTATCTGCATGTTAAATCTCAGTTGCTGGAGAGTTTGTTCAGCTTGAAGCTTAGTTTGTTATTCAGTAGAAAAGTGATTCACCTTTACTCCCATAAGAAAAAAAAAGTTTAATCTATTTCAGGGGCAAGGGAAACAGACTATCCTGCAGGAGAAGAAGGGTCCCAAGAAGCAGATCCCAGTCAAGTGGACAAGTCATCCCTGTGTGGAAGTATGACTAGCAACAGCTCTGCAGAAACCGACAGCTTGCTAGGAGGAATAACAGTGGTTGGCTGTACTGCAGAGGGTGTCACAGCAGCACCTGTAGCTCATGATGCGAACGGTGGCTTGCCAATGGCAGATAAACAATCAGGTATGAAAATCTTAGAAGCAAGCCAAGGATGGCCAAACAGCATTAAGTGTAACTAAGAAATCAACAGTGCAAGTATTAAATGTAATAGCTTGTCTGTAAGTGGAGAGAATATAAACGAGTACTCTGTGGGAAATGGCCTATAAGGCTGACATACTTGCATAGTATAATTATAGCTGAGAACTTTGTGGAGGTGATATTAAATGAGTGTAGACAATTGCTTCTTTCAAGTAGATAGAACTCTAACATCTTGTGCATGCTTTAAAGAGAGCTTTAAAGTTACTCAGTGTTTGAAATGCAGATCTTGCTGACAGATGACTGGAGAGGAAGTGGATATATGCCTTAAATCTTGTAAAGCCTTCATAGAGATTTAAATGAAACTGTTTACTTTATAGACGTTCTTAGTATTTTCTATCATATGCCCTTCAGAGCTGTATGGTGAAATGATTGTTAATAGATATGTGGTTGTTGGACTTGAACATTATTTGTTTTCTTATGGCATGTAATACTGTTGCCATAGTTGGTTTTTTTAATTAATTGGACTTTACTGCTATTCTAGTTAATCACTTCGAGGACAATTTGTGCCATCAGTCACTGGGTTGATACTTAAAGTGCATTTGACACTTGTTGATACCCAAACTTTAGTAGGTTGCACTGTGTTCCTGGTCTGTTGGGTTTTTTGTTGTTTGTTTTGTTTTGTTTTTTAATGAAATGTAAAATTTGAATTGTGATTATCTGGTTATTACAGCTATTCACTTAACTTTTAAGTATCAAATTCTGACTGTTTTAAACAATTGAGAATTCTTGCAGTTATTAAGTTTTTCACATTTTTTGTTCTATAGATACTGCGACTGAAAGTAATTCAGTAGATGAGAACATTCCAACAGCAGAGGAGGCAACAGAAGCAACAGAAGTCAATGCAGGGACAGGAGAAGACACAACTGATATTGCACAAACTGGAGTCTACACAGAGCACGTCTTTACAGATCCTTTGGGAGTGCAAAATACAACAGAGGCATCTCCAGTGTACCAGCCTAGGTACATCGTCCTCATACCTTTTAAAATGTGCTTAAAAATAAAAACATAGGTTGTAATCTGAGATAATCTGTTGCACTTTATTCAATGTATTTTAACTGTTCAGGTTTTTGGTTTGTTTTTGGTTTTTTTTAGTACTGAGTCAGAGTTATATAAAGACGTTGCAGTTTTGCCAAATGAGCAAGATCTAGTGAGAGAAGAAGCACAGAAAATGAGTAGCCTTTTACCAACGATGTGGCTTGGAGCACAGAATGGATGGTAAGAAAATGCTCACCTTGTTAAATTTATTTGGAAAAAATATTTTAAACTTGCTTCTTGTACCTACAGGCAGATTAGGTCAAGATTTAAGTGCAAGAAGCCCTCAAGGGGGCGTGAACTTTGTATGCTTTGTGACATTTAGGCATTACAGAATTCAAAGAAAATATTCTAGGTGATTAGCAAGGATTTTTGGCGGATTACACTTTCATCTGTGGAAAAGTTGCTTGAGTTTGGGGGTTTTTTTGTGAAATAAATTGTTATTGTCTAATAATTCCATAACTTTAAATATTTTATTATACTAGAAAAATGTATTGCCCTTTTAACTGCAGATGTGTCTGCAAAGGAGTTGGTAATGTTTCGGGCATCTGAAAATCCATTCTGCTGCTTGTGTAGTTCGTTCTTTCAGTCTGTATGTAGTTTTCAGTGGCAGATGAAAACTTTTCCCTTTAATTATCTATTTCAGTTATAAGGAGTTTGCTTTTTTTTTTTTTTTTTTAACTCCTGTCTGGTAGACTCTTTTTTTAGTGCTTTTAATCCCTCCTAATTTGTCTTTGCAGCCTGTATGTTCATTCGTCAGTGGCCCAGTGGAGGAAATGTGTTCATGCCATTAAACTTAAAGATTCTATTCTCAGTATTGTGTAAGTCCTGAAAGAATGTAATGTAAATCATAATGAACTTTTGTTAAAATACTTGCAAATTAGTTTTATATTTCCTCCTCAGATATTGGGAATGTCAGTTGCATTAAATGCATGCATGTTCTTTGAGGGGCAGTGGAAATCATTTGGGAAGTAAGGAAAGTAAGAGGAATCTTTTGATGCTATATCAATAGTACCTATTGAAAATACTGTAGCTCAAATGTATACTTGGTAGGTAGCTATGTACTCAAAACAGTTACAGGCTATTAATGTTGATGTTTTCTGCAGGCATTGTAGCCAGATATATTTTAAGCTTTCTGAACTGGATTTTGACTCCTTGTTGTTGTCCCTTCTCTTGAGCTATATTGTAGAAATCAAAACATTAGGGCTAATGTCAATATAAAAAATATGCTGAATTACAAAATGTTTCTACCTTAATTTAAACTTGCATTTTGAGAAATGTGTAAGTTCTTGTACCTCTTTTCTTTTCCCAGACATGTAAAAGGAATAGTATTAGTTGCACTAGCGGATGGAACGCTAGCGATATTTCACCGAGGAGTTGGTAAGCATTCTACTAGATCTTGAAACCAATGAAGCTCTAACAGTATTTAGAAAAGAAATATACCATTTATAAACAGTGTTTTGAAAATTTATTCCCCAATGGCTTTTTTACGGCTTATCTTGATAAATCTTTCTAGTCTTTTGGTTGCAGTTTCAAGTACCATTTTTGCACTGTCCTGGTGCATTCCCAGAATTTTTTCTTACTCTGAGGAGAAAAATGGGATATGTCCGAGCTAAATAGCGAAAAGCCAGTTGACAAAATCTTCTTTGATCATCATCCCTTCTGCTTTTTCATCATGCTCAATAGTCATCTCTTCTGTTTTGTTATTAGTGTTAATAATTGTCTGTGGCCAAGTCATTCAATGAGAATTTTGTAAGCATCCCTTCAGAACTTGTGCCTAAATAGCTCCTGGATGAGCTCCGTTCTTCAGCCTCCAGAATAAAGACCTGGAGGGGAAGGTCTTACTATGAGTAACTGGAACTTATCTGTTGACTTATTTCCACACACTCCCTAGTCATTTGTTCTTTTCTTCGTAGAGTTTAAACCCCTGTGCTCAGCATTTAGAAGAGTTAGAGGTTGCACAGCACTAATGCAAATATTGGGAAAGATGCATCTGGGATGAAGTCATGTTTTTAGTGTTCTCTCTTTTTTTTAAGCTAGCTCCAGTGGCTTACAGTCCTTAAGGATCTTGAGTAAATGTCAGTGATGATCTGTGGCTTAGTTCAGATTACAGAAGAATTTTATTTTGTATTAAATGACCAAATTTAGTATGCTTTTAGTAGATTTCAAGTGCCTCTCAAGATCTTGCAGCATATTTAAAAAACTCCTGATGCACTGGCCAACATTTCTATGTTCAGTCAAGCAGCAAGTGCCTAGTGCTGTGTGGGTGATGCTTGCTGTAATATATACTGATACCTGTCCAAGTAAAGCATTTAGCTGTAGGGAACTTGCTGTTTTTAAAAATGTTTTGAATATAATCACTGTACAACCTTATTATATAAAAACAAAGTAGCATTTGGGATGGTGGCAGTTCCTATAACTAGTTGCTTTTTTTTTAATGAGGAGTCTAGCCATAAATTTGTAGTGACTTACCCAGTTTATTACAGTGCTTTTAAAAACTTAGACTGTTAAGATATTTGTGTGTACTTTTAAATTATTTTGAAACTCATAGGAACCTATGCTTTGTTTTTTCTTTTCTTTCTGTTTTTAAAGACGGTCAGTGGGATTTGACGAATTATCACCTCTTAGACCTGGGCCGGCCACATCATTCGATAAGATGCATGACAGTGGTACATGACAAAGTCTGGTGTGGCTACAGGAACAAAATCTATGTTGTTCAGCCAAAGGCCATGAAAATAGAGGCAAGTTAAAATGGTGTTTAATATACTTAAATTTTATGTTTAAATGCTCTCTCATGTTACTGCTCAAATTACAGAGTAGTTCCTGAGAACAGATATTTGTTCATCAGCACAGAAACAAGCAGCCAGACAAATTTGTCTTGGGAAATAATGTTACATTTTCTTAAGATCTATTCATTGTTTTGGAAGATTTTAAGCCACGATGAGACAGTTCTCATTTATTGAAAACAATTTTTTGTGGGTTTAGTTCTCCACTTCTAGCAGGCCACTGCAGGAACTGAAAATGTCCTTGTGCAGAGCTTGTAAGGCTAGCTCCTAGCTCATTCTCTACATACATACCTCATTATGTTCTCCACCCACCTGTAACCTTCTCTATAACCTGTCTTTGCATACTTTAGAGGTTTGTAAGTGTTAATCTTGAATGTCCTCTTCCTCCAGTTATGGAATAGTTTGTTTATACAAGAAGTGTAAGCTGGTGTTTCTGCAGTATTGCATGTGTATGACATCTCAAGTACAGGAAGTGGCTAAGGTTTCTGAAAGCCATCAGCAGTATTAGTACTTGAGCTTCTGCTAATTGGCCTGAGACATGGGCCAGACCTTTTGAGGGTGACTGCTCAGCTCTTTTGAAAATATCAAGCACCTAGTTAATAATTTCTTTTTGTGAAGAAGATTGTATATATTGGAAAACAGAAGTTAAGGAAGTCATACAACAATTAAATGAATTGATATGCTAGTGAATAGTGTGGATTTTGCACGAGTGGGTTTGTATGCTAGAGCAAAGCTTGACAGAACTAGGAAGAAAACCACTTTTTGGGCATATGTATCTTGTGCTGTGACTGGAGGACCTCATACCAAAAAAGCTCCATGTTGAAATGGAGACGGAAGCCAGAGTAGGCTGCGATGTGATGTGTAAATGAAGAGACAATAGGAAATTATGGCTTTGAGATCATACTCTAGGGAAGGGAATCAGCACTTTTACTTTACCAGCAGCATAAGGCAGTTGTAACAAAAATCAACATTGTATCTGCTGGTGGTCTTGCAAATCAGGTGGTCGTAGATGACTTAAGAAAATTACCAATATTGGTAGTATAAGAGTAACAGAGAAATCTATCTTACTCTTTCCTTTGTTTGATCTTCTAATTTAAAAACCAATCTTTTGTAGAAGTCATTTGATGCACATCCAAGAAGAGAAAGCCAAGTGAGACAGCTGGCATGGGTGGGTGATGGGGTATGGGTGTCTATTCGTTTGGACTCCACCCTCCGTCTCTATCATGCACACACGTATCAGCATCTACAAGATGTGGACATTGAACCTTATGTAAGCAAAATGCTAGGTAAGTTGATAACAAAAACTGTTGTATTTTTACACCTCTTCCTGTCTGGAGCTTTTTTTTCCTGTTATGGATCAGGCAGTTCTCACTGAAAACTGGTGGGAAGGGTGGGTGGAAAGCCAGTCAAATCCTGTTTGTGCAAACTTGAAACTGGAAGTAGAAGTCTTAAGTCACTTTGTAAAGCATGATGAGGTGATAGGTGATCAGGTCTTCTGATACAGTCTTTTGATCCCACCTGATGGCTGATGTGTCCCTGAAAACTCAGAACTAATGAGGAAAATGGTGGTTGGGTTGGGCAGGCATTAATAGAGACACTAAAATCTTTCTCTTTTTAATGTACTGATGCCTGTTTTTAAAGCTAAGAGTGGGAAGAATCCATTACATGCCTGGAAAAAATGCTTCTTTCAAGAAAATACAAATGCAAAATAGCAAATTTTTATTGCTGTTGAAGCTAATAAGCTTTTTAATTTTGTTTCATTAATGTTTGTATAAGAGCAGTTTGACCACCTACATAACACAACAAATACAGGTAATTAATTGGGCCATGGGAAATTCTTCATGAGTAACTCCTGTGCCATTGCACTTAGCTGGTCAGCCTCCTTCTGCTCTCCTCATGGTGCTAATGGATGAGAAATTAATTTTAATGGATGAGAAACCATTATCTTACATCTGTAAACTCACCTTTTTTGTTTGGTTGTTTTTTTTGTTTGAAAAGCTGCCCTGGTGCTGTAAGCCCCAAAAGATTTTATTGTGCAGCATTATGGAGCTGTTATACCTTTTGTGCTTTCTCACCATTCACATTAGTCTCTTTCTATGTAGGTTCACAACTTAATTAACAGTGTTACAGCCTTTTAGGTTATCTTTACAACTTAAATATACTCCTCTGCCTTGTTTCTGTTTGAAGTGGGGAGGGAATTAACTTGTCCGCGTGATTTGGGAGTTGGAGTTAAGATTCTCTGTTATGGAACTAAAATTATTCTTGCTCATAATTTTTGATGAAAAGCATCTTTTGTTTTTAGGTACTGGTAAACTGGGATTCTCATTTGTGAGAATCACAGCTCTTATGGTGTCTTGTAATCGTTTATGGGTAGGAACAGGAAATGGTGTCATCATCTCCATTCCATTAACAGAAAGTAAGTAAAATATAAATGAATAGCACTGTGCAATATGCTGTAGACACAAAGAGATAATATTAAACACCATTCAGATGCTTGCTAATGGATAGAAAGCTTTACTGCCAGGTCTGAGTCTTTGAGGTTTGTAACAGATTGGGCCTGTGTGATGTTTAGCACCTGATCTGTGTACATGTTTACAATTACTCTGAGCTAAAAACCACATCTCCAAAATCTCCTGTAGTTCAGTTTGAACAGAGTTGCTGTGGCTTGAGTGAAAGAGACATTTTGAAGACTTAGAGGTGTTAGCAGCATTTATAGAAGTTTATTGCTTGTAATGTTATTTTTTTATTGCCATATGATCACCAAAATAGATTTTTGTTTGATTTGAGCACATTGATATTGTTGCTAGTACAATTTGAGCGGCTTTAGTTCTTGAGCACTCATCACAAAGCTGGTATAAAGGACTAGAACAGCAGTAGAACTGACTGCTTTAAAGGATGTGTTCAAAGTTATAGGAATTGTAAACACATTCTACAAATAATGCACTAATTTCTAGGTAAAATTCCAATAATGCAGATCCAGGTATCTGCTTAATAACAGACCGCAAACTCATCATAGGCTGAAACTGCTTGGAGAGGGGAGGGGAGACATTCAGACATGGACAGTTGAACCTCAGAGAAGGGAACAGTCCAGTTCAAGAGCAAAACAAATCTTAAGTAGGTAAAGCTTGGGAATAATCTGTGTGTAAATTAATTGCATTTAAAACAACAACAAAAAAACCTCAACACTTGTGCCTGAAAGTAATGTTAAAACACGTGGACAGAAGTTTCAGAAAATAAAATACAGCACTTTGATAGTCCCAATTATACTGTTGTTATATAGTAAGTACTACAGTCTGACAGGTGAGATTTTAGGGTAATTTAATAGTAAAAACTCTTCATGTTCTATCTGCTTTGTTGAACAGCACATACATGCATTGTTTCTCATACTGTTCCATTACATTGTCCATCCGTTCAGTAAATGCCTTTTTTCACATTGCATGAATGTACTAAGGAAGGACAGACTTCCTATTGTGAATTTGAAATAGCTTAAATCATGCTTTCAAAAATTATAGCTCTTAATTTGCATCAAGCTTAATTTAATGTTTCTAGAGGAGTTTGTTTTAAAACAGTAGTGAATGTGAAAAAATCCCTATTAAAGCCATTCGGTTTAATTTCAGTTTTGTTAGTTAGTTGCTCATGATTCAAAACAGCTGTTTTTGGGTAGCCTGATAGTGGGTTTGAAAACTCCTGTTACAAATAATCATGGTTTTCAAAAACAGTCACATCCTTGAATAAGCAGTTGCCTATCTCAATTCCCTGGGTCTCAATAGCAGGGCATCTTCCAGATCTGCCGATGATGTTTCGAAAGGGAACTCGAAGACATGAGTTGTTATATATTATTTTGGTAGCCTCCTACTGATGAAAGAGCGAAAGGGGAAACATTGATAATCAATAATAAACTTCATAGCAATAAAGCACGTGAAAGTGGCGGTGCTTTCGTTGTCCATTTTGTACTGAAACTTTCATAACAAGATACTATTCTTTGTGACTTTTTATTGAATCTTCTGTAATTAGATATTTACTGGTTTTAGGAGCTAAAATTTTAAGCTCTACCTTATCAAAAACCAAAATATGAGAGTGGTGGGTTCTCATTAATCCTTCTCCTCTACTGTCATACCTATCCATTTCCCCTTTCCTCCTTTCTCACTTTAGCTGTAATCCTCCACCAGGGACGTTTACTGGGGCTGAGGGGTAAGTGCAGATCCTGAACAAAAATCTATTTTCAGGCTTCTAATAGCCACTTTGAGGCTGTTTCACACTCCTTATAGATTTACCCTTTGTATGTTCCTAAATGTTTTTCCACTTGCAGTTACTGCATTGCAGCAGTTTTATGTTTGCTAAATGGCCACCAATCTGCTCAGCAGTTTAGTATATCATCCTGTGTTGCAGCTGAACTTTCATACAGACTTTTGTTTTTCTTCCAGCCAGTGTGATGCCATATCTTGTAACTTTGTCATTAATCCACATCATTTACTGTCTTGTTACAAATCACTGTTTCTTTCACTACTTTGATAGTCTTTGGAATGGAGATGGCTTGTATGTCTAGCATGAGTACTTCTCTGTTTTAATGGATTTTAAAACTCTGTAAAAACTAGATGTAGAATTCTAGTAGGGTGGCTCCTTCGTGCCCACAGGTGACTATTTTTAGAGAATTTTTGCTGGCAAGGGGATACCCTATGATTAGTTGAAATGAAACTGTCTTTAATTATATGCTTAAGTACATTGAATTTGTTCATACTGAAACACATTAGAGGTACTTATTTTCTGTGAAAGATACAGTCTTTTCACAAATTATTTTTTTCCAAAAGTAAGATATTAAAATCTGGTGTTTATGCTAGACTAATAAGAATCCTGCTCCATTTTCTGATGTACTTAAAATAACGAAGCATGCAATCTTTTTTTCTTTCCAGCTCTGTCTTGAATTGGCATTGCTGCCCTCCTGTTTCATTTTTACCTAAGTTGGCTTTAGCTTTTAGATGGTACCATAAGGTTTCTTAACAAATAACCATTTCTGTAATTTGTATTTTCAAGTAGAAAACACTTCTCTTCTTCTTTTACAGCTAATAAAGCAGCAGCAGGCTCCGGAAATCGTCCAGGGAGTGTAATACGTGTATATGGCGATGAGAACAGTGACAAAGTGACTCCAGGAACGTTCATACCGTATTGTTCAATGGCACACGCACAGCTTTGCTTCCATGGGCACCGGGATGCTGTTAAATTCTTCGTCGCTGTACCTGGTGAGGTTTTATTCCTGTTCTTCAAACGAAATTTCTTTTTTGCCCTCATTTGCATAGTTAAATATAGTGTTAAGGCAAAGATAGCAAGTGCATGAAATGGTACATTCAGAAACAATTCATTATATTTACGAGACTTGTCTGATTCCTTAGTGCAGTATTGTTTAATGGGTGGAAAAGGGTTTGGTCACAAAGAAGTGCTTTGCTTCTGTCTGGGAAAAAGGTACTGTACTAAGTGAGTACTTGCTTATTAAGAAGACAGTCAACTGCTAATCGATGTAAGGTCCAATTTAAGTCTGACATCCTGCAGGAAGGATGAGCTACTAAGGGAGAAGCCCCCAAGGAAAGAATCTCAATTGCAGAAGCTGAGCGTTTCCTACAAGCTGCAGCGCTGGTTGAAATCCCTCTCAGCGCTTGTGTGCTGGAAGTAAATGACAGAAGTTTGCTTAATGGGCTGACATGCACTGAATCATTTCAGTTGTGTGTCTGAAAGTCTTCAAGTCTGTTTCAATGTCATTCTCTAGATCTATGTGCCTGTACTGTGAAATCTATCAAGAGGCATTTAATTCTCTGATTTCCATTGAACCGACCTGAACAGATGCTTCGTCTCTTTAGAGAGATGAAATCGAAGCAAAGCTAGCTTTCTGTCCCTTGCTGAAGAGATACTAGAATCCAAAGTTAAGTGTATCATTAGGCATTAAGCATGTCATCCAGTGACCAAATACAGGCGATATTACACTGTGAGATGTGGCATAAAAATGTATTCTGTTTTTAATCCAGGTCAGGTTGTTTGCCCACAGAGCAGTGGGGGAACAGAGCTAACAGCTGATAAACCAGCCCAAGAGTCCTTCAACCAGAGTCCTTTGAAATCAATGTTGGTGATAAGTGGTGGAGAAGGATATATTGACTTCAGAATGGGTAAGAAATACTGAGCTTAAAATCAGTTGTAACCTCTTCACACTGAAAGGTTATGAATCATATAATAACTTCCGTTGTGATTGCAGAGTGCATTTGTATGGTCAGTCAGTGTATAGTCTTTACTAAGCAGGTGTGAGGATAGAAGTATCTCTATTCTGACCAACATACCTTCAGCTTACTCTTCTCATCCCAATAAACCATGACCTCTGAGTTGACTATGTAAAAAGATTTATTTGAAACTCTGCTTTGGAGTCACATACCACCTTACCATTCATGCTTTCAGTCTTACTTTGACAGGTTAGTCTTCTGTCTCAAACTGCTGGAAAATATGTCCTTAGTTACTTAAATATGCAGAATGAATACCAAAAAAAGTCATGTATTATGTGAAGAACATTCAAACTAAAATTTACTCATTTTTGAGTGAAAAGAGAAAGTAGTTCACTGTTATCTTTGCATAGCCTTCTTATTTTGATCACTGCTTCTCTTGGATAGTGCTTTTGCATGGTCTAGCCCATAAAAAGGTTTCTTGTGTAAACTTTTTTTTTTTTTTAAATTGAAGCTGTTGGAGAAATAAAACAAAATGAGAGTGGTTGTGACTCTATGCTTAGAATCTGCAACTGGAGACCTTGACAAAAAGTGCCTGAAAAGGAGTCACAACTCCTAGACCTAATTTTTACCTTTTGCCTAAATCTGTCTATAGTGTTTTTCAAAAACAAACAAACAACAAAAAAAGACCACAAAAACCACTACAAAAAAAACCCATGAAGGCCAGCCCAAATTCTGTCATCCTACTAGTCAATGAAAAACAGGTTCCTGCTGGTATCCCCAGTGGAGTTACGTGGAAGGCAGGACTTGAGGCAATTCTGTGCCACGCTGTAGTGAGTACTTAAAAACTCTGTGCTTATTCCAAGCAAGCTGGTATAGCCACATACCAAATGTGTATTTTGCTGTCCTTGTGGTATGATGCAAAGCCATGAACTTAAATATTAGCACTATAGCTGCGTTAGCTCAGCTGTTGCCACATTTGTGCAGCAAACTGACTCAAGAGCAAGTAAGTTCAAGCTATTCTGTGTTTGGATACCTCACACCTCCAAAGTAGTCTAACCAGAAAATCAGACAAACTGACTTGAAACCTTCCTGAAGTTGTAGGGCAGTTCCCATTTCATCTGATTAAACTGACGTTGTTCTGTACCACAAGACTGCTTCTGTATTGATGTTTATTGCTGTCTACGGGCAAGTTTTGTTTAGTGGTTAGTTTGTCACCTTTGATCCAAGTCAGCTCATGTCACCGAGAGTTTAGACGCAGTTACAAAAGTGCTCTTCTCTTTTGAAGAACAATAATGGAGAACAGGCTTAGGGCCATCTTGCAGCAGTGTGTGCAGAGTTGTGCCAAGCTAAGATGACTGGAACAAGAGGAAAGAAGGGGAAAGGTTCATCACAGACATGACTGTTGCATTGTCTCACTTGTGCTCAATTACTACTCTTCTTTCTGGAGCACTTTATATCGTTCATGTGTTTACTCTAGCACGCCTTCTCATAGCATAACTATCTCCATTTCTGCCTGGGAGGTACTGCAAGTTTGCAAATCAGGTGGTTGTTTCTTTACCTTAAAGAGTTAGAGGTGATGAAATGAGTAGAATATGGATACTTAAAAAACTGCAGTTAATTTGGGAGGCTAGAACAGAAGAATATGACCATCAGAATACTAGGCTCTGAAATGATGATGCAACAGACTTTCAGTTTGTCATGTATATATTTATGATCTTGAATATGTTTTTATATGGGCATATGGCAACTACTGTCTTTTGTAGTGTTTCTTGTAAACCTAGGTGCCATTTGTCTTGCTCCATTTGCCGTTAATACTGGTTTTTATTGTCTGCCTGAATCAAAGCTGTTTGTTTTTCAGGTGATGAAGGTGGAGAATCTGAACTCCTTGGAGAAGCTCTACAACTTGAACCTTCTGTAGCCAAAGCTGAGAGGAGTCACTTGATAGTGTGGCAAGTAATGTGTGGCAGTGAGTGAGCCTGTAGGATGCAGCTGGAGACCTTAAAAAAGAAAAAGAAAAAAAAAAAAAGGAAAAAAAAAAAAAAGAAGCTTCTGCATGTTTTTTTTTTTATTTTGTGAAACCTGTTTCACTACATGATGTTGAAGCGTTTCTTTGCTGGTTTAACTTTATATTGCAAATCTGTCATACCTTTAACTATACAGGAATTAGCTTGTGCTGTTTTACTGCACCTGTGTTACATGGAACAGTATCATGAGATCGGATCTCTCTCAGAACTGGTGTGCACACCTTAGTAAGCAACTGAGACATCAGTTTTACTGTACCACAGCAATCTAATGTAGTTCACTTCTTCAGTAGTCTCACTTGAGTTCAGCTTTATTACAACTGAGCTTCATTTCGCTGTATAATGCATTGAGTAAAACAGCAAAGTTATTCCCAGAGTACTAAAAAATTGACAAATTATAAGACGGATTATTAAGGCTCATCCAAATACTCAGTGAGGGCTAAAGCAATCTGTAAATTTGAGCTTTTGTTTTCGAACCTGGCAAATCTTGCTTATATCGTGTATATGGCTTAATTTGTTACATTCATCAGAATTTCTGTGGGGAAGAGGGAATTGTATAGGAATCAAGATGACAATATTTAAATAAAATTACATGTTTTCACTATTGAACCTTAAAGTTTGAGAACTGCTGCCCTCAATAATGAGCAATTTTGATGATAGTGTTTTTCCATTTCCCTGACATGGAACAATCTGTTTAGAAAGGGTATTCTTAGGATGAATTAAATTTGAAAATAACTGTAAAATTGTTGAACAGGGGATATGTTTTGTTCTTTTCTTGTCTTAAGTCCTTATGTCCTAAGCACTAGAATGATCTTCTCTGCCTAGCTGGTCAAACTCATGAGGCACTACATGTGTGAAGGTTAGAGACCTTGATTAGAGCATGAGAAAAGACTGAGAGTGTACAGGAAAAATGCATTCTGCCCAAGTGAGATTGTAAAGGAACCTTAGTGCCAGATAATTAGGAACAAAATGTATTTTGGGGTTTTTTTGGTAGTTGCGTACCCCTGTTTAGAAAAAAAAAAATAGCAACAATGTTAGCAGGTAACACTGAGTAAATTGATTAAAGTTAGGAGACTCTAATATTAGGCTGACATTCTGTCTACTCACCATCTATTTTTTTAACCATAAGTGTGAGTTGAAGACTGTCTTCCTTTTACATTGAATTTCCTCCATTAATATCAGACCTAAGTTAAATACTTAATTATTTCTGTCCTTCAGAGTATTTTAAAACCCAGATTTGCTTTTTCATTTAGTCTCTGGATAGTAAAAGTTTTGAGGGGTTTTAATAAACATCCAGCATTTACCCCCAAAAGGCTGGGACTGTTCTGTTCAGATTAGTAGAGAAATTTAGTAACTTGTTTATGTGAGAGAACTGAACAGTTCCAGAGGAGTAAATATAGAAACACTTTTTTAAAACTGCCTAAACATTTTTATGCAATAGGAGCAGTTCTGGTCTATCAGGCAAACATGTGTTTATATATTTTCTTAATTTTTTAAATGAACACATTTAGCTGAGGTCTATTGTGTAAATATATATTTAGGCAGCTTTTTCAAATGCATATCATAGCTGATAAACCAGAAAAACTCCATTCAGGTCTATTGGTTAGATTTATATGTATAAATACTTTTTAAGCAACATATTTTGTACACAGCTGTTCCTCTCGTAAATATGTATTTAGGACATGAACTATGTAGTAAAAATCCTTATTAAAGATGTCTAATATCTTGGTAGTATTTTTCTCTTCAGAATGCCAAAAGTGATGAGAGCATGTTGTTCATAATTTGCTTTCCAAATTCATCTTTAACGTCACTCTTAAAGTAGTACTACAGCTTAAATATAAAGTCTGGGAGCTTTTTAAAAATTACACAAATACAGAAAGTAAACTGACTAAACACTCCTAGAAAGACCTATTCAAAACTTAATAGACACATATGCTGAACCTGAAGCACATCTGAATTAACTTAGGAAATTGGATGTCTAAGAAAAATGCTGTCTAAACTTTTACTGTTGTGCAGAATCTTCACTGTGAGTGGTGCAGTTTCATTGCTTCTCCTGCCATTTTCTTAAATTTTTTTTTTTTTTTTTTTTTTCTTCTTGGAAAACACAGTCTCCAAAGTTTTTACTCACTGGTTGATTGTCACATTCTCATGTTCTCAGAAAAAAAAGCGCACAATTCTGTTCCTTGGTTCTTGTGTAGCATTTTATTTGTAACTAGTGATGAGCTGTTTTCTCTGGACAGCTTTACTGCTATCCAATAGAGCAGTTCAATCTGGCAAGTGTGTACCTGGTCTTTTGCCAAATGTATCTGGTCCACCGTGCCATTTCAGTCACCTCAGTGGGCCAACTCTTGCAAATTTTTCCGAGAATGAGTGTTTCTGTCCAAAAGTGGAAGGGTTTTAAAGAAAACAGCAGGGTTAACTGTGTACCACTGTGGCTGTAGATAAAAGGCATGTGCACTTCTCTGTATTTCTCATTTAAAAACTTTATCCCCTGTCCTAAGGTACAGTAGATTAAATGGGTCCCTATTGTCATCACAGTGCACTGGGATTTATAAACTCTACTTAAGGTCGCTTTGAATGGTGAATAGAGCACACAAACCACATAAAACCCCAGGCACTGGGATGACAATAGGCTCCTACAAATCCGTCTCAAGAATGTGTTTATGCATACACTCATGTGATTAAAGCATCATATAAATAGGAGCTAATCTCTTGATAGCTACAGCTTGTTAATAGTTTGGAAACATTTCGAGCACAAAATATGCAGCACATTACTTGCCTGGGTAAGGGTGTTTGCATGGTAAAGGTGAAATGCGTTGTATAAGCTGCTGCATTGTCCATTTCTTGTAAAGGTCTTCCTGCGTTGGATCGGATAGAGCTGGCAGAGCGTAGACACTTTATCATAGGCTGCCTTAGTAACAAACAAATGTTAAATCTGTTTTATTATACTAACTGTTCTAAAGAACGTGTGTCTTTTAAAATGCTGTGTAACTGAATATTTATTTCCATGTGAGTATTATAAAAGTTACCAAAGGATTAAACCTGATTTAGCACTCTTGTAAGTGACCCTGTTGAGACAAGGTCTTGTGAAGGCCCTGCTCTGTAAAACAAGACACGGTAAACTTAAATACAGTTCTTTAGGGAAATTAAATGTTTTTTTTCTAGCAGGGTTATGCCATATTGTAACAACCTATGTTGCACCTCAAAGCATTTTTCTATACACTAAATGTTTCTCCCACCCTCTAACAAGATTAAGTTTCCTTTATTAATTTTGTTGATGCACATTTCTCAATCTTTTAAACATATATTTTAAACATTTTATGGTCTGTAATTTTTGAAAGTTTTGTCTGTTGGACACTTTACGCTGAATTTTACTCGCCTCTGTAATCCGAGATGGATATTACAGCGTTAAACTTGCTGTCTGTTAAAACTTGAGGCTTCTTTTCTGTGAGCAGAAAAGCTCATATAGCAGTGTAGTTATTTCAGTATTTATTTCTATTATTGAATCCATGGGGTTCAGAATGTAACTTTGTACATGAAATATATATAAATATGTATATGAAACATGCATCGGATTGGTGTGTTCTTTGTAGTCTCCTGTTAAGTTCAAAGGTTTTTGATGCTACCAGAAGGCGTGATAATTGGGTGTTTTACACTAGCAGCTAAATATTGCCATCAGAAATGCAGGTAGTTAATATATTTGAGTCTGCCCACAACTAGGGTAATCCTGCTCTCTCATAGTGGGCCTAAGCAAAAGCTCTGAAGGAAGACTTTGTTCACTGACTGGTTCCCAAAGGATGCCATGCTGTCTTCTCCCCATACGTGGCCCACAAATGCACTGATTCAGAGGATGAGAATCCAGAGGAGATCTGCCAAACTGCAGCTCAGATGAAATAGGCCCTGGAATTTATTTTTCAAGTTTTCTGAACACCTTACCAAAGATTCAGCTAAACACAAATGCACGTTGGTTACTTACTGCACAGCAAAGGAAATATTATGTTTGTAAGGAGAAAAATGAGAACTTGGTGACAAGAGATTAATTTCTGCTGCAAAAACAGAACACTTGGCTAGAACCAGGTTTTAATTTTCTCCTGGCTCATCTGCCACTTTCTAACCATGTTTGTCCCAGCAGTTTATCTTGATTAGCATTAACAAGTGGCCATGCCACTGAAAGTACTTGGTTAACCTCTGTTATAAGGGATTGGGGTGGCCCCCTCTTTGTGTGGTGAAAACATACTGTCCCTGGTGTGCTGGGGGCACGGTGGCATTTAGTCCTTTGTCTTGCCTGTGTGAATGTGAGAGCATTTGTTAGTCGTGCTTCTCTCCAGCAGTAGTGAAGGGCCTTCGTGAAGCTGTTGCTTTTGAATACCTTTTGAAATTTTGATGCAAATTCTTCATATTTGCACGTGTGAACATAGGAATCATCCATGGTTCAGAAAACACGAAAGTGTCCTGTTACCAGTGTTGCACCCATTTGAAATTTTGTTGTCTTGGTGCTTTTAAAAAAAAAAGAGAAATCATTATACTCATTTACTGGAGTTTTCTCACAAGATTTTTGTCTCTGCAGAACAGATATACTGACAAATTTCCCTCTCCTCAACAGTGTTCATTCTCAGGATTTGCCCATTCACATGCACGTCACATCATTGCCCTGTGCTAAGACACTGTGCATACATATTCGATGGGAAGAAACATCATAAATCTTTACTCTGGAAACGTTTGAGCTCTTCTGGCAGCCCTGACAGCCCCTCAGGTCTGTGGGTAAGTAATTTAATTTTTCAGATCCTGTATTGAGAGAGAAGTGCTAATAGAATAGTGACCTGGGTTAAGGTATTACCAATTCTGTTTGGAGACTGAAGTTTTAAGCCATTGTAAATACCCAGGCCCTTCTGCAATGAACACGGTGATAACAGGAAAAGCATTCACAGTTTCTGTAGCAGACTTTAAAAATGTTCTCTGTTGTGCCAGTCTCCTATAAAAAGAGGTATTCACATCAGAACCCATAAAATGTTAATAATCATACAGGAAGTTAAAATGTTTCAGTGTGAATGATCTTTATTGGAAACTACTTGTTTGCTGGAAACCTCAATGAGAGAGTTTGAGGTAATTTCTCTTTTTCTACACTGGAATAGCAAACTGAAATGAGGGATTTTTTTTGCCATCACCTCCCTTTTTCTCATGCTGTAATCTATCTGAAAGCCGTGTGAATGATACAGCCTATAATGTTATTTAATTGTGATGATCTCTGATGCACACATGCCCTGTAACTCTACTGCAGAAGAAGCTTTGAAGAGGTCTTTTGGCCTTGGGCCGTACTCCACGACATGGCGTACAGGACAATTTTGGTGCAATTTTGCATGATTATAGTTAACTCCTTAAAAAGCTATTCTGAGATGACAAACCCAAGTATGAGAATTGTATTCTGGCTTTTCAAAACACTCTGGAAAGC